ATAGCCAACCACCTTCCACCTTCTTCCCCCACCACCTCCATCACCCATCCACCATAGCCAACCACGTTCAACCTTCTTCCTCCACCATCTCCTCCACCCATCCACCATAACCACTCACCTTGCACCTTCTTCCTCCACCATCTCCTTCACCCGTCTGCCATAGCCAACCACCTTCCACCTTCTTCCTCCACCATCTCCTTCGCCCATCCACCATAGCCGACGACCCTCCACCTTCTTCCTCCACCATCTCCCTCACCCACCCATCATAGCCAACTTTCGCCCATCCACCATAGCTGACCACCTCCTTCCTCCACCATCTCCTTCGCCCATCCACCATAGTTGACCACCTTGCACCTTCTTCCTCCACCATCTCCCTCACCCACCCGCCATAGCCAACCCCCTTCCACCTTGTTCGTCCACCATCTCCTTCACCCATCCATCCTAGCCAACCACCTTCCACCTTCTTCCTCCACCATCTCCTTCGCCCATCCGCCATAGCCAACCACCTTTCACCTTCTTCGTCCACCATTTCCTTCACCCATCCACCATTGCCAACCACCTTCCACCTTTTTCCTCCACCATCTCCTTCACCCATCCACCATACCCGGTCACCTTGCACCTTCTTCCTCCACCATCTCCTTAACCCATCGACCATAGCCGGTCACCTTGCACCTTTTTACTCCTCCGTCCTCGTCCGATACTCGGGGGTCGTAAGTAACGAAGGCGCCAAGGAGCGCAAAGAAAACCTAGGGAGGACGTTTGGATACGCTAGGGGGTGAGATTGATCAAGGACTAGATGTTTCTTTCTCTCTCTCTCTCTCTCTCTCTCTCTCTCTCTCACCGAAAACCCTTACCTCCTCCTCCTTTTCCTCTTCCTTCTTGACTCGTGACTAACCGCACCTCACTTGTTACATTGGCAGGGAACGAACGGTGAAAAGAAGCGGTCCTCACTTGGTGGAGAACGAGGGCAAGGGGAGGGTAGCCAGTCCCTTGCGCCACCAAGAGGGAGAGAAGGGAAACCCTCTGAGAATTTAGGAAAGCAAGATCCTCAGGCAAAGTGTGAGAGAGAAAGTTCGGTACAAGGTGAGTTGGACTGAAGTGGTCAACATGTGCAAAAGGGATGTGATCCGTGGTCGTGGCTTCTTTCGCTTCGCATTTGGAAAGCGTGGATAGCCTAAAGTGGAAGGGGGATTCGAAAATGTTCTAAGCAGACATGCGGGGCGGCGGCCCGAGGGTGGCGGGGGTCGTTACAAGTGCACCGGCGGCCAGCCACGTTTGCCGTGAGAGGTTTGAGTGTGAGCATGCCCACTGGAACACAAAGAAGCAGAACTGTGTCTGGGTGGGGTGGCCCAAGGTACCGAGGATGAGTCTGCTGTGGTACTCTCTGCGCGGGCTGTGCACATAAGACCATCGAAGTTTTCACTTGAATATGTGGTACTATCATCAACGTCTGCACCGGGATCCACTTGCTGAGGCTCACGCTGTAGACTTGCAGCGGGCCTGTGCCCTCCTACTAGTCTCGACACCGGAGCAGCCACGATAGTCGAGTTGGGTCGTGCGCTTCGACACTATTCGCATCTGGAGCATATCGATCAGGTGAAGGGGAGTTGTTACACACTCCTTAGTGAAGCTTGTGATTGCTCCCACTGACTGTATAGATCGGCTGCCTTCGAAGTGACTGCGTTGGAGTGCAGTCTAGCGCAGGGCGAACAGAGGCATCAAGGGCAGGGTGAACTTAGGTGAACTTAGGCGGGAAGTGATGTCGGATACATGCAAGCGAAGTCCGTGATGTCGAGAGGTAGATATGGCAGAGAAGGGAAAGCCATCCCGCTCGTTTCTTGATCAAAACGAGCGGGGAAAAGTGTTAGATCGGAGTTTTCGAGGCAGGCAACCCCGAATATGTTGCTAGACTAGGAGGAAAGTTAGTAGGGTTAGAGTTAGGAAGAAAGAGTAATGCACAAAGCTATGGCGGAAGAGAGATCGCGGAGAGTGTGTTGAGCATGATTAGATAACTCGCCCCTTCCTCAGTCAAATCGGATAAGTGAAAGGATGGATCGCGGGTTTTTTACCAGGGCAAAATAATTGGTGAGGTTAGTTTTTTAGTTAGTGAAACTTATTTAAAGTTACTAAGGAAATTAGTTGCGCGACGAGATGGAATGAGTTAGCTATGTAGAGGAAAAAAAGAGAGGTAACTTATTCAATTCTCTATAGAATCGAGCAAGTGAGGACGCTAGACTGGGGTTCGGTGATGAGACGATCACGATAGCGGGCTCAGTGAGGCAAGTAAGGGAGTGGATTAGAAGTTAGTAGAAAACGAGGTTGCGCGGAGATGTCGAGTGGGTATGGAGAAAAGTGAAAAACGCGAAACTCACCTGATCTTTGATGGAATTGGAAGAGGGAAAGCGTGTCCTAAGAGCTATTGGGCAGCACGAGTGTAGTGCTGGCGTTAGTTTTAGTGTTGGGTTAGCACAATGGGAGTCTGACAGAGAAGCACTTGCGCGAAGGTGGCGAGAATGCAGCCGCGACAGAGGATGAGATTTTAGCATTTTGCTCGATTCTCTATAGAATCGAACGAGCTAAGATTCGATTTCGAGGTTTTAGGACCTCGGGAGTCGATCGATGAAGTAAGATTGATGAGGCAGGGGGTGGAAATAACAGCATAAGGAGTAAGGGTTACGCCCCCACTATGAAAAATGTGAAGGTCCGTATCTGGCCATGTTCTGGCGAAAGATTAATATTTGACTTTGCTCATCCTAACCATGGAAGAAGCATTGAGGTCAGTTCAGTATCAGAGACTTACTTTTTAGCCGGTGCGTTGCTAGCCTTGAGAGGTGCATCCGATAACTCTCTCTCTCTCCCTCTACAACACACTTGTTGGCCGAATAGAAGCGAAAAGCGAGCCACTTCGGTTGGTGACTTGTTCGTTGGCCGGTGAGCCGCTCATTGGGACGACAGGGAAGCAAGTCGCGAAAACCGGACGACTTACCTATTGGAGGAACGCTGCCCGGTCTGCTATATGGAATGGCGAAACATAAGTTGCGAGACTGTAGGCCTTTGGCCATCAGCACCACTCGCTGCTAAACAGGGCAGCAACAAGGCCGACAGCGGGTTTAGAGACTATCTGTTGGCTGATGCGTTGCTCATCTTGTTAAACGGGGTATATGGGAAAGCAGGAGCTGCAAGTAAAGGAGGAGAGTGTGTAGCGAGCGTGCCTGACCGGTTTCAAAAAGGAGATTCATTCTCCTTCGATTAAATCGATGGGTAGCGGAGAGAGGCTCTTCCCCTCGAATATGCCTTGGGTTGCTATTGCTTACTCCCTACCATGTTGAGGTCGTGCTCACTGTTTAGTCTGAATATGGTTGTGTGAGTTATTGCTACCGGTTGGATCTAACCGTAAAGGTGACTCTGTGCTGACTGCAGAAAAGGGGACTGAGAAGCTAGGGAGGTCGACTGGAGGAGGGTAATACGTACCTGGGCGTGTTTTACTTGATCGACTAACGCCGTATGTTGAACTACACGAGTGAGCGGTGTGTCTAGCTGTATGTTGAACTGCACGAGTAACCCGTGTGTCTAGCCGTATGTTGAGCTGCACGAGTAAGCGGTGTATTGAACGTTGGCAAGTCGCTCCGCTAACAAAAACGGGAGCGGTAAGTTACAGGCGTGAGTTAAAATCCAGGAGTAACCGCTGGTCACGCCTAGTTATCTGCTCGATTCTACCAGCAACCACATATATGCCTACGAATGAGCACTTTGCGATGTGAATAGCAAGGGCTGACGAAGAATATCGACTGTTTTACTTCGACGTGAAAAAAGGACCGTGCTCTTAACTCCCATTCACAAGCGGTTATCGGACAGTTGAAAATTCGAAAATAAAAAAATTCTGAAGGGAGAGTTTTTGGCAGTCTGAAAATCCTGAATGGTACTGAAGTGGTGAAAGGTTCGAGACTCTGAAAACCACCTGTTTAGGCATACTGCATGCTTAAATGGTGAAGGGTGTCCTGAAGTGGTCAAATGAGGGTTTTGGGCAATCTGAGGATCATGAATGGTCCTGAAGTGGTGAAAGGTCCAAAGACCATGAAAACCACCCTTCACCACTTGAGGATACAGCCTGCCTAAACAGATAGTTTTCAGGGTCTTCGGAGCTTTCACCACTTTAGGACCATTCAGGATTTTCAAACTTGAATGGTTCTGAAGTGGTGAAAGGTCCGACGACCCTGAAAACCATCTGTTTAGGCAGGCTGAAGTGATGTCCTGAAGTGGTGATGAAAAATGTGATTGTTGTCGAGGAGTGACCAGGATTGTTAAACAGGGGCGGAGGTATTGCTACGATTTAGACAGTCTTCTGGGAGTTAATGATCAACAGTTTCACTTCGGCTGACTAAGTTACTGTGCATTTGGCCACCATTGCGAGAGCCTCAGGCGTATAAAAATTACAAGACCCTCGCCTTGGAGTTGAGTTGTGCCTCTCTTGTATCTCGAGCGTCTGAAACCCCTCCTACCCTTTTCACTCCAAGTTTAATCCAGTTCAGAGACGAAGGCGACATGCGGGATTGCAACCCGTAGGACCGCAGCAAGATTCTGTGAGGAGTCAGCCCACAGATTGCGGGAGCTCTGTCGGAACTTAGGAGCAGTTCTGGAGGCAGAGAAGTGAGAGGTAACCATTGATTTCTTTTTATAAACCCATTTATAACCCATATGCGTACTTCTTGCTATGTTTGTCTGATTATACAACATGCACTGTTACTTTGACCGTGAGTTTGGCTTCCAGGGCTTAAACCAAACTTAAATGAAGGTATGCGCAATGTAAGTTTCAATTTAGTTGTATTGACTAAAAACAGATTGTGGAAAGGGTTTACATCTGGGGGAAGGATGAGAGAAAGGATATATTGCTTGTGTCTGACTGGATCCATCAAAGGCTGGGCAAATCTCCAAAAGGTTGGGGAGACCCAACACTATATTTATTTTTTTATTGTTTGAAGAACCAAACATGTTCCATAAGTTTGGGTGGTCTGGTTGCGAGGGCTCTTTGTGGTTGATTTTTTTGGGACTAAACACTATCTCACAAGTTTGGGTGGCTTGGTTGCCTTGCTTATTTTGGGTTTTCTCAGATTCTTTTAGTTTTGAACGAGGGGGGCGGAATATGTTCCATAAGTTTGGGTGACTCAACCTCTTCCTGCTTCACCACCTAGACAGGTTCCATAAGTTCGAGTGATTTTGGTCCAATGCCACGTACATGCTGGAACCAAAAGGTTATAACTTGGCTATATTTTATTACTATTTTACCTATGAATATGCTAGTCAGATATTGTTTCATAAGTCTGGGTGGTCTGACTATAGTTTATCACCAACTAAAGAGAGTATTAACTAAGAATAAATTTCTGGCAAGAAGAAGCAAGTTGAACCTCCAACTAAAGATCATCGGTTCAATCATATGCTACCTTAAAAGATTAAGTGCAGATGATTTTATAAAACTTGGATACTTAAACAATTCATGGCGACCAGGATGACCTAGTCACGTGCCCAAGGAAGAGAAAAGTCGTAGTGCCCTATATTTGTTTATATTAAATGGTTGAGCTAGACATAGTTCATACTTTGGGTAGTCTAGCTTTGTGCCTAATGTAAGTTGAGCATAAAGAGGTAACTCCTTGAAAGACTATAAACTATTGTTTGATAAGGTTGACTTTCGG